GCTTTCGCATGCATATGAGGTTACTGAAAATACCATGGCTTGGGTCAGGCGCACCTTAGTCCTTAAGCTGACTTCTTTGCTCCTCAACACTTTAAAAAGGTCTTGACTTAATAATGGCACAGTATTTATTATACCTCTCTATAGACAAAGGTTAAAATAGATCAGAACAGCATTATGCAATTTTTTCCCACCACTTAAAAAAATTTTAATATGCACTTCATATTCTAGACTAAAATATATGCAAAGAAGACAATGGATATCAAAATAACTTGCGACAATTTCTAAAACCCTTCAGATATTAAAGTCAGAAAAACAAAAAAATAATTTACAATGTTTGTCATTATGACATAGATTAAAAAACTAGTCCCACAATAAAATGAATTCATTCTAATTATAAAAAAATTCCTAGTATAAGAATAGAAATATATGTATGCTTATAAATAGAAAAATATCTATTCAAGTTTTAGACAAAATTCTTTGGTGTTACAAAACTGCCTATGTTATTACATACCTATTTCCAATAGGAGGCCTGGTGTGGTGTTGTGGGTTAATGCACTAGACTGCAAAAATCAGTTTGAACTGCAAGTTCAGTGGTTCAGGCTAGTTTATATTATTTAAGTTCCAATTTAAAAACAATGTATAGTCTGAAAAGACTTCATAGAAAATGTTGTTAAGTGCTGTCGAGTTGGTTCTGACTCATAGCAACCTTGTATAGAGTTTCCGAAGAGCAGTTGGTGGATTTGAACCATCAACCTTGCAGTTCAAATTGATATTGTGATCCAGTGCTTATCCTACAGCGCCATACCACAACTCCAGATATTCAGATGTTGTTGTTAAGTTCCACTGAGTTGGTTCTGACCCATAGCGACCCTGTAGGGGGTCTCCTAGGAGGGGTTGGTAAGCTTGAACTGTGGACCTTGTAGTTCAAATTGACTTTGCAGTCCAGCACATTAGCCCACAGCACCATACCAGGACGCTAAATATTCACGTAGAAAGTAGTAACAAGGTATTTTGTTTTCCTGGTGCTCAAACATTTATGGACAAACTTCACTTATTAAACCTTAAAATAACTATTTTTTGCTATTTATTATGTATTCACATGTTCTTGATAAAAAAATTAAAAAAAAAGGTACAACTATAGGTAGAAAATTCAGTTCTGAGTTGATTATGATGATTTTCTCAACTAGCTGCTCTATAATATATATATATACAGCTAAATGAAAAGATAAAAAGCCCAGCATACTTGATCACTGGCTTGGCAAGAGAATGAATAACATCGACACACCTTAGTATATGTTCTTTACCTAATGAATTATTCATTTGCAAATATTACCAAAAGTAAAAAATTTATTTAACAGAGTGGTTGGTTTTCTAATACATCACAAACTGTAATGTTGTACTTTTCTATTCTCACTGCTTGTCTTCTATCAGTGGTTGACGTTTCTCCCAAATAGTTTAGTACACATTTAAAGCGGCAATACATGTTATACTTACTGAACTTGGACTGTAATTATAAATCAGTTTTATATACAGAAAATCCATAAATATAGAATTTTTATTCCTGTTTTATCCTTATGTTATGCAAAAAACTGACAAAAATTTCAAATTTTCATTTGGGTCTTTGTAATAAACATGTAAGTACACATTTACATTGGAGATACTTTCTGACAGAAAATAAACACACAGAAGTACTTTTGGTCGTCACTAGATACATCATTAGCTGTCCATTCTCCAAGATGATGTGATACATCATGCTCACTCAAATTTTAAGATTCTGTTTATACACATAATTCAAATATTTAACTTGTATAATTAATGCTTCATTCTGCATTTAAGTTTCTTACAAGAAAGATTCCTTGATCCAATAGTAGGGAGTTTAAAAAATATTTTCAAATATGGTAAAATATTTCTGTACAATTATGTGCAATTTTCTTCATTCTGGAAATATTATAAATACTGAGTCATTTAAGCCATTTCATCTTCATTGTTCAAATCCCAGAGGTAATTCTTGAGATATCTCACATGATGTAAGTACCATCTTTGTAGCATTTCATGGACTCCATTTGTTTTGTCATCGCGAGAACATCATGAAATCCAGTACTGAGGCCAGACATATGTTGAAAGTATGCCTCTTTTTCCACTTGAATTGTTAAATTGTTTACTCCAGCGTCTTTAAGTATTCCTGTAACCTGATTATAAAACCCAGACATTTAAAAGTATTTAATTAAAAAAATGCAAAATTTAATATGTCTTACAAAACTGACATCTTATTTTTTTATAGTTATAGATTGTTGTTTTTGTTAAGTGCTGTGGAGTTGGTTCCGACTCATAGCAACCCTGTATAGGGTTTCCGAGGAGCGGCTGGTGAGCTTGAACCACCCACCTGGCAGTTCAAAGTGCTTATACAGTCTAGCACTTTAACACGCAGCACAACACCAGGACTCCATAGTTATAGATTTGTTGTAGTTACAGATTTGTTGTTATTGTTAAGTGCCAACCCATAGTGACCCTGTATAGGGTTTCCGAGGAGCAACTGGTGAGCTTGAACCGACGACCTTGAAGTTCAAACGGCTTTGCAGTCTAGTGCATAACCCGTAGCACCACACCAGGACTCCATAGTTATAGATTTATAATAGTTATAGATAGGCAAAGATAAATCCTCTAAGTAAAGTTTATTATTCAGTCAGTCAAAATGTTAGATTCTTCTAGAAACCTAGTCAATTACTGTGGTGTTATTCAAAGTAGAAATTTTTCTAATTGGGTTCATCTAGAATACAGACCCCTATCTCCAGCGGTAAGATATACTTATTAATTTAATATTAAATAAGCTATACTGACAGTTAAGGAGCTCTGGTAGCATGGTGGTTACGAATCGGGCTGCTAATCTCACAGTCAGCAGCTCGAAACTACCAGCTGTTCTGTGGGAGAAAAGATGAGGATTTCTGCTCCTGTAAAGATTTACAGCCTCGGAAATCCTGTACAGGGTTGCTATGAGTTGGAACCAACTCCATGGCACATAACAGCAGCAACAGATTTACAGTTACTTATGTTAATTACTTCAATTGAAATTACTTTAAAAATAAGAGTATTACCTGCTGTACTATTCTTTGTTCCAGCACATCAGATGTCACCTGTATATGAATTGTTCCTGCCACAACACTGGCAGAATGACGCCAAAAATGAGGGTCTCGATATGAAATTAAGCCTTCAATTTTTTGTATCTGTTAAATAAATGAAAAAAAAGTGATATATACAACCTTAAAGGCTAGTTTACTTAAAACATAGCAATCCCTTTGGCCCAGGAATCACTATTAAACAGAGATTAAAAAAAAAAAAGTGGGAAAGAATTGTAGGACATCCAGTTAAGGGTGACTATTAGAAAGGCATTCTGATTTAGATGTGATAGGCAGTTCTGAGTGGAAAGCAAATGGGGGTTATAAGTATCTTCACCCCCAAATTTTACCATTACCAATATTCACACACCTTCATTTTCATCTATATAAAATATAGTGAGCTTATTGTACACATAGGTATACCAAGGCTTCTCAAACATTGCCTAGACATATGCCATGAACTACAAGTTCTCCTTTCCATAGATACACATATTATTTGTTTATATAATATATAGATTGTTGTTGTTATGTGCTGTGGAGTCAGTTCCGACTCATAGCAACCCTATGTACAGGGTTTCCGAGGCTGTAAATCTTTACAGGAGCAGAAAGCCTCATTTTTCTCCCCCGAACAGCTGGTAGTTTCGAACTGCTGACCCTGAGGTTTGCAGCCCGATACGTAACCTCTACGCACATTCAAAAAGTACACTCAATGTTCAACAATGGAGGATTACTTAAATATGTTGTTGTGTGCTGTTGTGTTGGTTCCAATCCAAAGAGACCCTGGACAGGGTTTCTGGGGTTGTAAATCTCTATGGAAGCAGAAAACCACATCTTTCTCTTGCGGAGCGGCTGTTGGGTTTGAACCACTGACCCTTTGGTTAGCTGTCCAATGCATAACCCACTGTGCCACCAGGGCTCCAATGAAATATTGTTAAAGTATCGAGTTGGTTTCAACTCATAGCGACCCCGTATAGGGTTTGCACTGCCAAACTTGTGGTTAACAGTCCAGTGCTTGTCCTACAGTGCCACACCAGGACTTCTGTTTATATAAATATATTCATGTAATACTATAACGACATTTAAAAGTCATTAAAATATATTAAGAGTATTTATCAATATGAAATAAAGGGAGAAAAAAATCTTTTTAGAAAATGTTTTGTGAATTATGTGATAGTTTACATTCATCCTATCGTATATTGTTTCATTGCCATGGTTACAATCCCCTCCATGCATCATCAACCAAACAAAGGGTATAAAATTTGCTTTTTAAATGTTTAATTTTATTTAAAAAGTAAATCGGTTCTCTGTAGTCACAAACAAAAAAGAAAACAAAGAAGAAAAGGAGTTAAATATAGCCCTGGCCACAACTGTAGCGATTTCCTCAGCCACCCAGGCTGTGGAGCGGCGTATGTCCGACTCTCCACTGTCTCTTTCTGCTGCCTCAGCTTGCTGTGCTCAAGGGCATTTCTTTCTTTTCGTTTTGTGCCTTCCCCTTCAACAAGTAAATATGTGTGTGTTCTCTAGTTTTTTGCCATTTTTTTAATTATAAAGAAAACAACTTGGAAAAGTCTTTCCAGGTGGCTGAATTATGTATGTCTTTATTTATTGATTTATTTTCCAGTTTTGGACATTTCTGCAGCTTAAAGTTTTTAAGTGCCATCAAGTCGTCATAGCGACTGTGTATATAAGGTTTTTAAAGAGTGGCTGGTAGGATTGAATTACTGAACTTGTGGTTAGCAGTGCAGTTCTTATTCATTCTACAGTGCCACAACAGGATTCCAAGTTTTTCTGTTATTGTTAAGTGCCCTCGAGTCAGTTCTGACTTACGGTGACCCTGTATAGGGTTTCCGAGGAGCAGCTCATTAAGTTTGAACTGCCAACCTTGAGGTTCAAACTGACATTATGGTTGAGTACTTATCCTACGGGACCATACCAGGACTCCAAGTTTTTCTGTGTTAGACATATATTACTTTTGAAATAAAAAATACATTAAAAAAAAAGATGTAGTCACTAACCTAGAGTCCTTGTGTGATATGCTGTAGGATAAACACTGGACGGCCGACTGCAAGGCCGACCAGCCACTCCTTGGCTCTGACTCGCGATGAGTCCGAGCCAACTTGACAGCACTTAACAACAGCAGTCACTAACCTTACTAATCTGACTTATGGAAACATCGGGTTACAATGCAACAGCATACATATTTAACAAGTTAGCCTTTTATAACCAGCTGAAAATTTCTGTACCATAATATGGCAAACCACAAGATGAAAGACATTCTATTCTGTATTTGCTTTTTTCTTTGAACTGCTTGTTTGCAGTCTCAGTCCATTTTTCTAGAGAGTGTCTTTCTAAATTATTATTTAAAGGATTATGATGGTAAATGGTAAGTCTTTGTTTATACATCATATAAACATTTCTTTTGGTCTGCCATTTGTACTTCATATTTCTTAATGGGATATTCTGACAATCTGGATTTGGCTTCTGGTTTCACTTCACAATGAAAAAGGCCTTCCTTATCTCCACAACCACATAAATATTTTCCTGTTTTATTTTAGCAGCTTTATTATTTTTAAAATAATGAGCCCTTATGGCACTGTAAGATAAGTAATGGACTGCAAGTTTGGCTTGAACCAAAGGAGGTGGTTCAAACCCACAAGCCACTCCTTGGAAAACCTATATAGGGTCACTATGAGTCGGAACTGACTCAATGGCACCTAACAGTAACAATGTTCATAAGGATTATTGGTCTATACTTTTCTTTCTTAGTGATGTCAATGTCTTTGCCTGATTTTGTTATCAGGGTTATTTATGCTTGCTTCATAAAATCAATTTTTGAGTTTTCCACCCTTTTCTATATTCCATTAACAGGTTTAGTAGAAGCGGTGTCAGCTTCCCTCTGAATGTTTGGTAGAATTCACCAGTAAAGCCATCTGGGCCTGAGTTTTTGTTTTATTGGGAGTTTTTAAATGATTTGATAAATTTCTTTTGTTTTAAGTCTGTTTCGAGTTTTCAACTTCAGTCTGTGCTAGTTTAGGTGTTTCTAGGAATTTGTCCATCTGTTGTAGGTATTCAAATTTTTTGGAGTATAATTCTTCACAGTATTCTGTGATTATCCTTTTTATTTTGGGTGGTTCTGTTGTTATGTCACTCATAGTTTCTAATTCATGTTACCTTATCTTCTCCTTTTCTTTTGTTAAGATTTGTCAATGGTTTGTCGATTTTATTAATCCTTCTCAAAGAACCAACTTCTTGTCTTGTTGATTCTTTATACTGTTTTTCTGTTTTCTACAGTTAATTGCTTTTTTAGCCTTTTAACCCCCTGAAATATATTTTATTGGTATGGCATCGAGATATAGTTTTTCTTTAAACCAAATGAAAATGTAATTGACCCAAAACTGGTTAACCAGGCCAACCCGTCCTTCCCTGCATTCATTTTTCACTCTAATTTCTGTTGTGTTATTGTTGTTGCTTTTAGATGCCACTGAATCAGTACTGACTCATAGTGACCCTATACACAACAGAATAAAACACTGCCAGATCCTGTGATAACCTCACAATCATTGCTATGCGTGAACCCACTGCTGTTGCCACTGTACCAATCCATCTAGCTGGGGTGGTGGTGGTGGTGGTGGCGGTGGTCTTCCTTTTTCTCCAACTCTCCACTTTACCAAACATGATACCCTTCTGCAAGAACTGGTCCTTCCTAACAATATATCTTTAGTATGCAAGATAAAATCTGGCCATCCTAGCTTCCAAGGAGCTTTCTGGCTATACTTCTTTCAACACAGATTGGTTTGTTTTTTCGGGCAGTCCATGGTACTTTTAATATTCTCCTCCAATATCATAACTCAAATGCATCAATTCTTCTACAGTTTTCCTTACTCACTGTCCGACTTTCACAGGCATATGAGGTTATTGAAAATACCATGGCTTGGGTCAGGCACACCTTAGACCTCAAACTGACATCTTTGCTCTTTCCAACACTTTAAAAAGGTCTTGTGCAGCAGATTTGCCTAATGCAATATGTCATTTAATTTCCTGACTGCTGCTTCCATAAGTGTTGATGGTTGATATGAGCAAAACAAAGTCATTAACAACTTCAATCTTTTTTCTCCAATTATATAGATGTTTACTGGTCCAGTGGTAAGGATTTCTGTATTCTTTATATTGAGGTGTAACCCATACTATAGCTTCATAAGTAAGTATCTTAAGCTCTTTTCACTTTCAGCAAGCAAGGCTGTATCATCTGCATATCACAGGTTGTTAATGAGTCTTCCTCCAATACCGATGCCATGTTTTTCTTCATATAATGCAGCATCTCAGATTATGTGCTCAGCATACAGACCGAATAAGTATGGTGGAAAACTACAACCCTGGTGTACAATTTTGCTAATTTAAAACCATTCAGTATTCCCTTGTTCTGTTCGAACAACTGTTTCTTGGTCAATGTACAAGTTCCTCATGAGCATAATTAAGTGTTCCGGAATACTCATTCTCTGCAATGTTGTCATAATTGTCAATAATCCACATAATCAAAAGCCTTTGCATAATCAATAAAGCACAGGTTAATACATTTCTAGTATTCTTTGCTTTCAGCCAAGATCCAGCTGACATCAGTAATAATAGCCCTCGTTCCACATCCTCATCTGGATCTGGCTTGAACCTCTGAGGCAGTTCTCTGTCAATGTATATTTGCAGCTGTTTTTGGATTATCTTTAACAAAGTTTTACTTGGATGAGATATTAATGATATTGTCCAATGATTTCTGCATTCTGTTGGGTTACCTCTCTTTGGAAAGGGCACAAATATGGATCATTTCCCGTCAGTTGGCCAGGTAGTTGTCTTTTCAAATTTCTTGGCATAGATGAGTGAGTGCCTTCAGTATTTCATCAGTTTGTTGAAAGGTTTCAATTTGTATTCCACCAATTCCTGGAGACTTTGTCTTTGTCATTGCCTTCAATGCGCCTTAGACTTCTTCCTTCAGTATCATTGACTCTTTATCGTAGGCTGTGTTGTGTTAATGTTTACAAAATCCTTCTGATTTTCTTTTTTATTTTTATATGAAGGTGTATTAATTTTGTTTACCCTGTAAACAATTAATTTTTTTCATTTAAAATGGTCTTATCTTGAAAGCTACTTGACTTCATCTATATTTGAAAACTCTACAACTATTTCCTCTTCTTGCTCTGTAGGTGACTTCATTATAAATTGGTATTTACAGTTTCTTATTTTCAGTCTTGTAGGTTTATTTTACTTTACATACCTCTATTTCTGGAGCTCTGGTACAGTAGTGGTTACAAATTGGGCTGTGAACCTCAGGGTCAGCAGTTCGAACCTACCAGCTGTTCTGCAGGAGAAAGATGAGGCTTTCTGCTCCCATAAAGAGTTATAGCCTCAGAAACCCTGTACAGGGTTGCTATGTGTCGGAACCGACTCCACAGCACATAACAACAACATCTGGATTGCAGGTGAAAGCTGAGGCTTTGTACTTCTGCAAAGATTTACAGCCTCGGAAACTCTATACAGGGTTGTTATGAGTTGGAATTAACTCAATGGCACTTAACAACAACATATCTGAATAGAGCACTGGTGGTATCACCTATGTTAATCTTAAAATGTTGTGTACTATTGTTGGTTCTCAGCCAAAAGACCACCTCCTTTAGTATTTTTTGTTAAGTTTGCCTGGTTATTACAAATTCCTTTGATTTCTATTTATCAGGAAATATCCTAATTTTACTTTGTTGGGTATATGATTCTTGGTTGGCAATTTTTAAAGAGTTTTATATATGCTATTCTATGGCCTTCTTACCTAGATTATTTCTGCTGAGAATTCAGACATTAATTTTATTGGTTCTCTTTTATAATAAATTTTTCATTTTTCCTGAGCTGCTTTCAAGAGCCTTTCCTTGTCACAGGATTTTGAGAGTTTTATTATGGCTTGGTGATTTTCTTTTGGGGTTGATCCTGTTTAGGGTTCATTCAACTTCTTGCATGTTTATATTCTTGCCTTTTATAATGTTACGGATGTTTTCTTCTAACAACTATTAGACAATTTTCTGGGTTTTTTACTGTCTTCCTGTTCTGGAATTCTGATCACCCGTAAGTTATTTCTCTTTATGGTGCCCCACATGAATCTTAGGTTTTCATCATATATTTTCCTTCTTTTTTCTGATTGTTCTTCTAGCACCCTAGTATTGAGAAATACATCTTTAAACTCATTAATTCAGGTTTCCACTACTTCAAGTCTATTCCTTTGTCCTTTCAATATGTTGTCAATTTCCAAAATCTTAGTATTAATCTTCCGGATTTCTATTTGTAGGCTTTGTATTATTTCAGAATTTGTATTTATTTTGTCTATTTGTTCTTGTAGTGTTTTCCTGAATTCTTATAAGGTGTGTATTATGTGTGTGTGTTCTTGCTTTCCTTGATCTTTATGTCAATCTATTGACGGTACCTAAATACCATTCTTCTTAATTTGTTCAGAAGTAATTCCGTTAGCTTTTCTTCCTCAGAAATGTTTTCTGGTTCTGCATCTTTCGTCATCTGTTTGAATCATTCTCTTTTATTTCTTTGTGTGAACTAACATTGTATGTTGTCTCTGGGACATTGTAGATGTGTATTTAGCTGATGATTGTATGTTGATGTGCTCTTAGGCATTCCTGTCTCTGGGGTATAGTTAGAGAATGGAGGCATGTGTACCACTCTCGTTCATGCAGCCTAGTTTAGGGTGCTTTTGGCTGGTTTTCTTGGCTGCTCTCTGTCATTGATCAAGTGGTATAGAAGCTGGTCTTGCACATTTCATTATAATACTTTGTCTTGAGCAGCCTTCTGAATTTTTCTATTCTGCTCTTCAATTCTATAATCACAAAATATGATCTGCTAAAGAGTTAAAATTTTCATGCTTATTCTTTGGCCTTAATGGTTTCAAATAAGTTTTAATACTGAATTATCTATCAATCCTTACCCCACAAACAAAAAATAAAACGAATAAATCCTAACGAGAGCTAACTGGATTAAGATTAGAAAAACAATTGAACATTTTCACAATACAATCCTCTCCTCCACAAAAATGTCTCTCTTCATTTATCCAGTCCCTGCTTTATGTCCTTTAATTGAAACTGTGTTTTTCTCTTTAATAGCTTATTTTTCTGGTAAAGTTAAATTATTTAATTTTATATGCATTTAAAAAAGGAAAAGATAGTGAATAAATTATGTACAGTACCTTTTCTAAAGCAATATGTAGCTCTTTTTCATACTCTGGTGGCAGTCTCAGAAGTAGGACCTGACAGGCATCTTTTATTAGTGGGACAACACTAAGAAATATTAATATAGCAATAAAAAGAGAACAGAGAGGGTCAGCAATGAACCATCCAAACTGCTCTATAAGAATTGTGGATACGATCACACCAACACTGCCAAGTGTGTCTGCCAAAACATGTAGAAATACACCTACAAATAAAAAATAGACACGTCTAATTTAGTTCTTTTGGCCATTTCACAAATTTTACTGCGTACCTACTATCTGTTGCTAGGATACTGAATAGTTTTCAGCAGATCTTCTAGACTAAGACAGACTAGGAAAAAAAGTCTGACACACTACTAATGCACATCAGCCAATGAAAAACCTATGGATTACAATAGTTGTACAGGGGGGATGGTGCATATCTGGGCAACATTTTGTCCCATTGTGTATGGGGTGACGATAAGTCAGGAACTGACAGGATGGCAGCTAATAACAACAACTATATACCAAGCACTATGCAATTATGATGAAAAACATGGCCACCTTCCTCGAAATGTTCACAGTATAGTGGTTAAAGGGAAGCACATGGGAAATTTTAACAGTGTGGTGAGTGTTATGATAGAAGGGTTGGAAAGCCTTCTTAGAAATCATGCTCCAGCCAGGTTTTGACATTGCCCAAATAATTCATGCAAGTGTAAATAATCAGAATAAACAAATCAATGTAATAACTGACTAATATTTCTCCCATAATTTTTTATACTACAATAAAATTCTCCCAGTTCATTTGCAGTGAAAGTTCATTAGGGTACATTCTTTGTTTCCCTTGCAAACAATGTTTATTTTACTGCTATTGTAAAACAGAATCTATAATCACCATAATTTAATTAAAAATTGATGTTTATGAACAAATATGAGTATTTTCTACAGTAAACTGGCTTAGCCCTTTTTTAGCTATAGCTTTCTTTTTAAAAATAAAGTGTATCAGAAGCTCAATATTCCCTACAAATAAAACCAGAGAGCCTTTTTAGGACACAGTTGAAAGGTAGTGTATTTGGCAAGGACTCACCCCTCATGTTCGCATTCATGCCTCCACCTGCAGATCCATGGCTGTGCCCATGCCCGTGCCCATGGTCACTGTGTCCGTGACCATGGTGTGAATGGCTGTGATCAGATGAGTGACAGCTTCCTTGAGAAGCTCCATGGCTGTGGTTATGGGCGTGGCTAAAGGCACAGATACCAATAAGGTTTACTATCAGTCCTCCAACTGAGACTGGCTAGTAAAAGGGAGAAAAGAAAACCTTTAAATTTTCTATTAACCTTGCTACTTAAAAGTTACTAAATAACTCTATGTTCTTCTGTTTATAGTTTCCAAAGTAGAGAACACTTTACTATGTTCAATATGCATATATAAAAAGTTAAAAGTATGAAATTTTATACTATTTTAGAAGAAATAGCTTAGCTTTCAAACACCAAAAGGATATGGACTTGCTGAAATGACACGATTAATATATATTTGGTTCACAGATTATGTAAAAACAAATAGTATTTGTTTAGAAAGTTTGAAAGTGTTCTTTACTTAGGTGAGACACATTTTACCTGAAGTCTTGTTTATATTACAAGGTCAATTTCAATAGTTGATAATATCATTAGTCCACCAGACTTAAAATTTTCAATTAGCTTATGAACTTGTATATGCTTAATGGGTTTTTGAGTAAAATCAAATACTGCTTATAGGAGCCCTATAGTCCCAGGAATATTCCACCGTCTACTGAGAAATACTTCATCTTATGTATTACAGTACAGGAAATAAAAGTCCTCCATAATTCTATCTCCACGATAGTCACTCCTAAGAGAATGGTGTCTTTTCTTTGTATCTACTCACATACATACATATATGAGGTAGCTTCAAAAAGTTTGTAGAAAAGTAGAATTGGAAGAATGGAATGTTCAGCTGAACTTTCTGAAGTCCCTTGTAAATGTTTTAAACCAATCATATGGTATTATATAAACTGATTCGTAATTTTTTTTTTTTACTTAGTGCATATTTTTTCTAAGCCACTATATATATATATATACACATATATTTCATTATTTGAAATAGCCTCATAATATTTTCTTGTATGGAGAGCTTTAAATTTATTTTAGTCCCGTTCATTGATGGGAATTCACTTATTCCCATTTTTTTTTTTCTTCTTCTCACCATTACAAACTATGATACAATGAATCATGTACATCTACAGGCTTGTGTGAATGTTTTTGTATGATAAATATTAAATAAAATACAAAGGATATAAGTATTTAAAAGTCCAACAGGTATTTGACTCCAAAAACATCTCACTAATATATACTTTTACGGCGCTCTGGTAGTGTACTGGTTACGTGTTGGGCTGTTTAAATTGTGGTGAGAGGTATTTGAAGGGGACTATTAGAACAAGTAAGGAAGTAGTGTCACTTTGTCTTCAGTACTGCACTAACGATGCTAAAGTTCTAAATGCAGAATTCTTACTATGACCTGAAGTTCCACATCTCATTTAAGAGATAAGGCAAGGAGAAGAGACAAGTCTTTTAAACTTATCTTCCTGTAAACCCTTTAAAATTCAATTTTCTTGCTTGAGTTTTTAAAATCTTCAACATTGTATAAATTTTCTAAGATATTTAAAAACATACCTTGAAACAAAAACATTTAATATTAGAAAAAAACCCCAGTATGTTCTACAATGTCATATAATATTTTTACCACTAAAATATTAGATAAAAAGCCAGTATTTTAAAAGTAAGTAAGGACTCATGGTGATTTAAATAGAAAATAAAATTTCCCTAGATCTATAGTAACTATATGGAAAAAGGTAACTATGAATAAAAGAGCAGAAATTGAAATTGTTGTTGTTAAGTGCCATAGAGTAGGTTCTGACTCATAATGACCCTGTATAGGGTTTTGGAGACTGTAAATCTTTGTGGGAGCAGCTGGTGGGCTTGAACTGCTGGTCTCATGGTTTGCAGTCCAGTGCATATCCTACAGAGCCACTGCACTCCCCAGAAATCCAAATAGGAAAACAAAAGACTTACTGTTAACATGTGTGTGTCTAATTCTGGAGGATCAATCAATCTAGCCACTGACTCCATGAACACAAAAAAAGCTATTACCATTAGAAAAAGTCCATTAATAAATCCAGAGAGAATTTCTATTCGGCCATACCTAAAAGAGTATAGAGTATATTTTTAGAAAAGATTAATGACAAATATTTTTAAAAGTATAAATACTATTACTTTATAAACGAGGAAATATTTTAAAACTATACATGGTAAAACTAAAAAGTTATCAGGATTTTAAACATCTGGCTAATGTGTAAGATGTTTAATACGTTTGTTTATCTGTGCTGAAATTTTACACTGAGCTCTTTCTTCAGTGTCCCCTCCACACAAAGCCTTTCCTAATTTCTTAGCAAAAAGTTTGATCTCCCTCCATTAAACTTTTTCTGTCCTCTGTTACCTTACATGGTACATGGGACACTGCTTTGTGCCAACACTATTTCTACTCTCAGCTCACTCCGTTTTCATAATATAAACCATTGAGAATATGAACTATATTTTAATAATCTATTCAGAGTTGTTGTTAAATGCCATCAAGTCGGTTCTGACACACAGCGACCCTGTATAGGATTTCTGAGGAGCAGCTGGTGAGCTTGAACCACCAACCTTGCAGTTCAAGTGGCTTTGAAGTCTGGTGCATTAACACATAGTGCCACACCAGGACTCCCTATTCAGAGTAGGTCTTCTTAAAATATTTTGCATGAATCAAGGACTCTAATATTTGTTTAAGTGAATTATCTGCTTAATGAAAAGATATTTTCATACACAGTCACTTCAAATTTTTAGTATTATATTCTTAGGCACATTACATGTTTTTTTGTAAACCAAGAAAATCCCAGAGCATGTTAGTTTATTTGTGAATACGATGCACGCTATATGTATGTGTATGTTACATGTAAAAAACATACAGTAGTGTTTTAAATAGCAAAAATGTGAATGATCATGCATATTCTATTTGCCTTACAGAAACATGTTGGGCAAAGATCTCAAGATTCTAGCTGATTTTGTTCTCTGTCTATAAGAAGGATTTATTAATTATATAGTTTTGCACTTACTGCCATTCAGTATTTGCCCTATGCTTGGTTCATTTTGTCTTATCTATTTCAATTAAAGAATGAAGCTCTGGAAAATTATTTGTATTAAAAGTACTAAAATTTATAACCTAAGATGAAATTTGCCTTTAGGTTTTTTTCATTGTGCTACATTATCATCTTGATAAGTCCGTGTACCTACCCATAAGAGAAAATCCGAGTTGCTTTCCATCTGCTCATAAGGGCAGCAAACAGTCCCATGACCAAAGCTGAGCAGTCAAAGAGCATGTGAAATCCATCAGAGATCAGTCCCAGACTATTGGTCAACACACCATAGAATAATTCCACAAAGGTAAAAAGCTTTTAAAAAAAAAATGTTAAAAAATAAGGAGTTGTACATTGGAAAATACTGCTTCAATAGAAAAAATTTTTTTCAATACTAATTTATCAGAATATCAACTCTTAATACCAATTCTTATTAGAAGAAATCAGATAACACTGCCTCTTTGGTTACTTAATTGCAATTTATATGGAAATCTATAAATTTAAGAAAGACTGTGCTAAATCAGACATGTCCATCTTTTAAGTTAATTAAAATGGAGAACTTTTTATTCCCATGTCTATAATAATCAATGAGCCAGAATACAAAATGCTAACAATCATTAGGTCTGTAGTGAGACCACAGCAGTAGATAAAATCTTTACTGATTTGAAACAGCATACCCAACCAATTACTTCTAAAATACCTAAAAAATTATTTGCCTATGTAATCTTGCTACTGCATAGAGGAAACAAGTTTTATTCTATCTTTATCAGAAATTTAAGAATTTCTAAAGTTACCAGAGCTATCAAATTATTAAGTTGTTAAGATATACTACTAACATTTGAAAATCTTACCATATTCAAGCACAAGAAGTAAAAGATCTGCCTAGAATCACTCTCCTCAAGGATCTGTTTTAATGATTCTTTAATAAACCTAGGCATGGATTGAGAGCTATGCTGAAAAGCATCACCCATGACGTTATAAAGAGGTGTTCCTTCAGGAGAATATCCAATAAGGGTACCTTTCTGTCCTTTCTTAGAGGGAGATGATAAAATATTGGCAGCTACAAGGGGAAAAAAAGGGGGAAATCACAAAAGTTTTAAAAGGTTAACAAAAACCAACACGCTGTCAGCACTAAATGTAATCACCAGATAATTTCCCAAATTAAGTACAATACTTGAACATCATTGTTCATAAAAAGAAATTTGTATAAATAAAAATAAGGGGGAAAAGCTTACACAAGATGAAGAATATAGCACTCACAACCACGCCTCCAGACAGGACATGCTCAGTGCTCTCCTGGTGTGCTGCTTTGTTCATAACTCGAAGCTGGTCTGTTAGGGGATGTGTCCAAAAATTTCCAAAAATGAGAGCACTAATAAAAATGGGAAAGGACCCATAGCGGGCACATTTGGAAACGTCCATTTTGACTGAACAAATGGAATCCACATAGAAGTCCAGGATCATAACAAAAAAAATAACCGTTGTAAAAGGCATAATGAGAGAAAACCAAGACTCTACCTTACTCTGAAAATTAAAAAAAAAAAAAAAAAAAGAGAAAGAAATTGTTAGTACTGCATGGTCAAAAAATTCAGATCTTATGTTTTAGTTAATGCTTCTATGTAAGCCAGTATTTTCAAGTTTTAACATGATTCATAAAATATCAAACATCAGCACTATAAGACACTGACATTTTCCCAGGACTCCTTTCCAGTTATAAATTAGAATGGGCAAAATATTAACAAGCAAAAGCATAATTACTTAACGAATTACAAATACTAGCTGACCTAAGACATGGTGGACAATTTTGTTTGTTCAACTGATTCCTTTGGACTATAGAAATATATTGTTACTGTTGAGTGCTATCGACTCGGTTCCAACTCATAGCGATTTTGTGCAGGGTTTCTGAGGAGCAGCTGGTGGGTTTGAACTGTCAACCTCGTGGTTAGCAGTTCAGTGCTTATCCTGTAGCATCAGGAGGCCAACAGAAATGTCAGGGCTATGTAAATGCAATAGTGTTTGACTTTTATTTTCTGTAAACAGTAAACATTAAGTCCAAATCTTTATCAAAAATTGTAAAGAAAAAGCAAAGATAACTTAAGCTACTTTCAACATAAAAATGAAATGCAATGTAAGAACTAAAATTTTAAGTAATAGAAATCCCTTTGACTTGTTACCGGAAGTTCTTATTCTTACCTCAGTGGTCACAGAAAGCATGATAACCCATGGACATAAGATCAACGCAGAAACAAGATGGGATAAAGCTTGAAGACGTTTGGCTCCACCAACATCTATGGAAAACTTTCTGGAAGCTGTGTGAAAGCCAACTTTACAACACAAAGCCAGTACCAACAACAGTACTCCACCCTATAAGTACAGTGAAATAAGTCTCATTAGCAGCACAGTTTAATAATGAATTCTTAAGTACATTACATTTGAAGGAAAGCAACTGGTATGTTTCTTTCCATAGCTCATATTATTTAATGCAAGTATATAAATGGAAAGCAAGGTGATTAATTACTTGTAACTTATTTTAAATGTACTAATAAGGTTGTAAGTGCTGTAACTTTTCAGGATCTTTGGATCATGTTAGCAACAAACACAAGAACATACCTTGTGATCTGCCACACCTAAGAAGGCAATGGCTGTGTACAGCATGTGAGTGAGAGCACTGTCGTGATGTCCTTCGGCTAAGTGAGTCAGTGTAAAGGAAAAACACCAAACAGTAACCCTTGGAATTGTGAAGTCCTTCTGAAATTTTGGCTGTTTTGGGTTGAAGAAAGATAATTCTAGGGATAGAAAACCTGAACACTCTCAGTAACATTTCTTTCTTTTTTTTTTTTTTTTTTAAAAAACCCCAACACTTCATCAATTAAAAAATTAATTTTAGGATATTATACACTGGAATGGGCTAATTCTCCAAAATAATTACAATAGTGCTTATGACACAGCTGCTACATTTCAGTATTCAAACTCCAAATACTATGTGCATACATATGAGAGAGTTTCAAAAAATTTATGGAAAATGGAACTGAAAAGACAAAAGAATTTTCTCCTTGAACTTTTTGAAGTCCCCTTGTGATGTAAACAGGACAAAAGGACAAGAGTACGAACTCTCCTCAGACAACTCCTGCCTGGTGGTTAGCATGACATTAACACCAGCCCTAAATTTTATCGTCTAAGTTAATGACCTCAGCAAAGCAGCAAGCAAAAGAGGGTGGGGTAGAGAGGGCAGGATGTATCACAAGCAATATGGAGCTTTATCAAAGTCATGACCCCCTGCTTCATTGTAACAAAGTAAATTATTATTAGTTTACCAGCAAGTTTTAGGCCAGTGAGTATCAGTACCCAGAAGAATTAAAACTGGTGCCGAGTTCTACTGAATGGGCTGGGCAAAGGTATGTGATGGGAAAGAACAAGACACATCTGTAGAGAAAAATGTCTTGATTTTTTTTTTTTTTTAACTGGAAAATTGGGTTTGTTCGTGAGGACACTGGGGGCTAGACTGGAAATAATAATTTAGGATAAGAGTATGAATACCAGGTTAAGGACTTTGAATTCTTTCTTTCAGGCAAGAAGATGCTAAAGGTTTTTCACTTCATTTCAAGAAAGTTTAAACTTTATAATTGCCATTAACTTTCAGAATGAATATTTGAATTGTATTATACAAGGATACAAACAGATGAGTGAGTGGGAATTCAGAGATTGTTTCTTAACACCAACCCCACTGCCATCACTGAGTCTATTCTGACTCGTAGCGACTCTGTGGGAAAGAGTAGAACAGCCTCAAAGGGCTTCCATGGCTGTGCATCTTTATGAAGCAGACTTCATTTTTCTTCCTCAGAGCAGCTGGTGGGTTTGAATCAACAATCGTTTGGTTAGCAGCCCAGTACTAACCCACTGTGGCATCAGGTCTACTCCTTTTCTTGGCACCAGGACATTCTAAAATATTCTTTTGCTATCCCTACATTTCTGAATATTTAGGGTGCTAATGAAGGTATTGAAATGTTATAAAATATTTAATTTAGAATGTATTTATTCACTATTTGAGTACTTTGAGTTAGTATCCCTACATTTATCTATCAGTTTCATTCATGATTAATCAGTTTAATTCACTTGCCCTTCTTTTCCCATTCTGTCAGTCTTCTAGTTTTCTGCAAAATTTAAATAATTCTAATCTATTGCAAAGGATACGGTGTTCAGCCATTTTAGCCATGAGATCATCATTGTCGAAAAGCAATAAACAGATCACAGCAATAATGAAGAAAGCAGCTCCTCTTGTCTAAAAACAAAGAAAATAATACCAAGTATGGCTTTTACAAGAGTTGATTATTAAGACTATGACTACAGAAATCCTTACAAAATTTTTCCCAAATAAATTAAGAAAAAATAACATAAGCTCAAAGTCCTTATTTATACAGCACAAATGCAGTAAATACAGTAAGATGTAAAAGTAAAGCGCGCCAATACATTCTGCAGGATACATGAAGGACATTTAAGATACTGTGAAGTTAGCAGTCCAGTGCCTAAACTATAGCACCATACAAGGACTCCAAAGAATAATTGTTGAATGCCATTGAGTTGGTTTCAATTCATAGCAACCTTGTAATGGACTCCTGGTGTGGCAATGTAGGATAAGTACTGGACTGCAAAACACAAGGTTAGTGGGTCAAGCCCACGAGCTGCTCCTTGGAAACCTTGTACAGAGTCAGAATCAACTCTATGGCACTTAATAACAACAATATTGGGTTTACAAGAATCAGCTGGTAAATTTGAACTGCCGACCTTTCCGTTAGCAGTCTAGTGCTTATCCTACAGTGCCACAGTTTATTGTTGTTGTTAAAGCCATCCAGTTGGTTCCGACCCACAGCGACCCTGTATAGGGTTTCTGAGGAGCAGCTGGTGAGCTTGAACTGCCAATCTTGCAGTTCAAACCAACTGTGCAGTCCAGTGCATTAACCCACAGCGCCACATGAGGAGTAGGGGCTTACTTTATTTTGAAACATGAAAGGAATAGACAGTTAATTTATAACAATCTGAGCAGTCTAAGTATTCATAATATGATACTCTTCATTGTTTGAAGCTATAATTACCCTTCTTTTTTTGATGAAAAGAATAAAGAAGGTACATCTACATTATAAACTTATGTGATTTCTAATATCTAGTAAAGATACAAAGCATTTAAACACTGATAAACCTTCTAAGGTTATGTTTTCATTCCTGTGAAAAATTTTTGACAAAAGATGTCTTTCTGACAAATGATAGAAATGATACACTAGCAATTTATGCAGATGTTTTAGAATGTTAGATATAAATGTACTCAAAATAACATTACTATACATTCTGTATTTATGTTGTTGTTGTTGTTGTTGTTAGGTGTCATTGAGTCAGTACCGACTCATAGAGAACCTACTATGCACAGTAGAACGAAACACTGCCCGATCCTGGGCCAACCTCACTACTGTTCCCATGCTTCAGTCCATCGATGTTGCCACTTGGCCAATCGATCTTGTTGGGAGTCTTCCTCTTTTTCTCTGACTCTCCACCTAATGCAATGTACATCATTTGATTTCTTGACTGCTGCTTCCGTGAGTGTTGATAGTTGATCCAAGAATGAAGTCCTTGACAACTTCAATCTTTGCTCCGTTGATAATAATGTTGTTTATTGGTCCAGTGGTGACAATTTTTGTTTTCTTGACATTGAGATGTAATCCATACCGAAGGCTGTG